GATTATCTCTAAAGAACCCTATACCGTGGCTGACACATAGACATTATTTAAAAATGTAAAAAAAAATGAATTCAATGTAGGGAATAAGTATTTTAATTTCTTAATAATTTCCTTGTTATTCTCCATTTTGATATATAAGGAATAGATATATTTTTTCTAGTTTTCCAAAGAACGTGTATCCTAAACATTCTGTACACAAAATTCAGTCTAGATCTTGATATTCACAGCTAACATTTGTGAAATGTTGTAGTTTGTCCATATGAAGAAAGAACTGAGTTAAGTAAAAGGAATTTACCAATCCTAAAATTCAGATGGTTGTTATTAAGAATAAAATTACTTTATTAGTGCTATTATCAAAAGACATGTGAGTCAGACAGAAAAAAAAAGTACAGAAAGGTGAAAAACTTTCATCAAACGGAAGAGAAAATTATTGTTTTATGATATATACAAGAGAGAGAGAATCTGGCCAAACATTAAACTTTTTTTAAAAAAAGAGAGAAACATCATCCATGGTACAAATAATGTTTAACTCGATGTCAAGGTCTGAATATGAGATATATTTACCTGCTCTACCAACTCAAAATGCTGTTTTGTTTTATTTCAAACCCCCAAACATAAGAGTACTTTAGAAATTTTTAAACCACATATTGTATTATGTTTAAAGAAGGACATAATTCAGAGGAAGCTGGAAATTATCTATTTTGTTTGTCCAGAGCATTGTTGAAGCAAATTGCTCAGCAAGTTTTGTTGCTAATTCAACACACCAAAATATTACAATCAAGTTGGTACTAATAGATGTCTTTTAGCTAGGAAAACTGACAATAGGTTCACCAAACGTAAAAAATAACTAGGAGAACAGAAAAGAAATCCCTGTTTTGTTTACCATGAACAAGATTATGTCCTAAAAGCTATTTGTTAAGCTTAAAATTTAGTAATATGGTTATAAAATGTGGAGACAGCACATTGGAAACTTAACTCTTCACTTAATGTTATAGATCATTTTTTCCACCAGTATCATTTGGTCTAGAAAAATATCATTCTCTTGAAGTAGTAATTAGAAACAGTGCACATCAAGAAATTTAATTGAGGATAGACTTTCGTTGACCTCAGAAGAGAACAAAAGCTCAAAAGAAATTCCATGAAGTTTTAAATTTGGCAGGAGGACTACAATATCTCTGATAATTAGACTTTCAACACATTTGGGTTTGCTAATTGGATCTAAGTTCTAATTAGACTTTTTATGTAACTAAGAATGACATATCATTGCATGAATTTAATGTGCTTTTACAGTTGAAATCAACAATTAGCAGCCTTTTCCAAATTATTTTAATATGGAAAAAGCTGGCTTTGTTGTTTACATTGTGACATCCCCTTTTCTTAAGATATATTGTGTATATTTTTGTTTTCTTAATTAAACACCTTTTGGGAAGCTTAAAGAGAAACTTGAGTTTTAATAAGGAAGCACCTGAATCATTTATTTATGAAGGAAACTTGCCCATATGTTGGTGGCTTTGGAAGCCACAACAAAATGCAATACAAGGAAATAGATCACAGTTGTCAGGAGGAAATAGCACAAACAACCAGGTGCCCCATATGTATTCAGTTAACCGAAGTGGTCTCTGAATATGACTATTATATTTTTAAAGTGTGTAAATGCAGAATAGGTTCGCAAGTGCAGAGGCTTATGGAGCAGGTATCAAGATTAATAGCATGACATTTCTTCCCAAGATGTGCATTTCAACATTCTCTCTGCAGCTTCGCTCTTTGAGCAGTTATCTGCTAATTCGAGTCACATCATCTCTTTCTTTTCTTCTTATTTATGATTGAGAGTCATCAATTTTTATCTGGTAGCCCTCAGATTTGTACATTACAAGAGAAAAGAACTACAAAGAAGTATAAAATTAAACCAGTATTTTGGAGAGTATAGAGCAGTGAATCATTGCAAGATTTTAAGGGAAAGGCTGCTGCCAAAATATTTCAAGAAAATTGATAACACTGACAAAAGAAGGCAAATTATGTTGTTTTATGTACTGTGAATACTTTGAAAACAACAAAGCAATACACATGATTTTCCTCAGATAAAAGCAGTTACCCTTCTAACCACATTAAAAGTATTGTTGTTTTTTTCCCAGTAAAAGCAGTGAAAGATCAAATTGAAATCACTGAAACTATAAGAAAATCTAACTCATGCAGTAATTGATATATCAGAACAGACGTTATACTAGAATTATAGTTGCTATTATTTTTTCAATTAGCCCATTACTGGGACTGAATTATTGGAGTACTTATAATTCCTCATTAAGTTGAAAATTCTCAATAAGCATGTTGAGTACTGTCATATGACATATGATGATATTTAAAAGCAGGAGATTGCATTTCTGATTGCTTCATTTGCTATTAAAAAAGAAAACCCGAGCAGGACACCTTCTATACTAATTATTCTAAAAGCTATCACACAGTTCTCTATAAGGTCTATGCAGAGGTGGTTGGACTGTTCTTCAGGCAGAAAAGTAACCAAAGCTATTTTATGTTTCAGCTTGGGTGCTGGAATCCTGTCACAGGTCTGAATGGGTCACTGACTGACAAGAAACTGGAGAACAACATGCGTGGAGTGGTTCTACGTGTAGTGACTGTTCTGGTGAGTCTTATCTGAGCCTTGTGGCTCTGGTTTCTAGAAGTGACTTTATCCTTCATTTCTTTATCTTTTCTTAGCTGATGCCATAATCTTAAAAGAGCTTTTAACAAATCTTGACTATGCTTTCTAAGATATTTTTAATGGTCGTATTTTCCAGCCTTCAATTTATGTGGAACAGGATTAGGTTTTTGTAGGCTTTTCTTTTAATTACAGTGCTTTTGTCAGGAACTTTCTTGGACATTTTAGGCCCAATTTCCATCCTTCTACAGTTTTCTGCACATGATAAAGTAAAGGTATCCCTCAAGCATTTTCTCACTGAAACTATCATATGCATAAACAAAGATCACTATGCCAAATAAGGGTAGATTAAATATAATGTAGACATTCAGCATAGTAAAATATTAGCAGACAAAGACAATCCTTTTCTAGTAATAATCTACTTCAAAAAAAGGATATTTTCAAAAAAATAATCTACTTTGAAAAAAAGTTGCTTAATACATATTTATTGAGTACCAACTCTGTTCCAAGCTAAGTGCTGATTACAGAGGACACTGACAAATTAAATCGACATTATGATTCTAACTTTATGGAGCTTATCATCTAGCAATTCTGTGAATGTTAAATGGGATTATACATGTGAAATATTTGTTATAATTCCATTTACTTATTAGAAAATCAATAAATGGTAACTATTATTACTATTCTCAACATTATTATTTTCTCTCCTATTAAACATATAAAATAAGAAGCTAATAGAAATATTCTTTAACAATAAAATACTCAAATGGGTACCGTCTAAATAGCCATAAAACATGGAGATGTGTACTCTCCTTTGCTATTCTAACATGTTTAACTTTGTGCTACTTTAAAGTATATTTCATAGCTTAATAGTCCACAGTTACTAATGTTATTTTTCTTTGGAAAAGCTAACTTGTTTTTAAATTTGAAAAAAGCTTTCATATCAGCTAAATAAATAGCAGAATTAGTAAATGGGAGCAGTAGCCTTTTTGATATGTTGATGCTAATTGGATGTTCATAACACCAATGGCTGCCCTTTGTATGTTGTTCGGTACAAATTAGATAGACTCACCATGACTTCACTGTCTAAAAAAAGGATCTGTGAATATTCTCTATAAAAGGAAATTTGAGTGAACAGTCTTGTCCCCTTAATTTTTGTGCCTATAATTTATTCCTAGTTATTGTTTTAATAAAGGTTTCATTTCTGGTAAATAATTATATTATGAATACTTTACAACTTAAATGTGGATGTGTTTCTGTATGTACCTAAGCATGTAAATGTGCATTTGCACTGACGTGCTAATATTAAAAAAAAAAAAGCAGACATTTAAAGTGCAGCAAACTATTAATAGCCTCTTCTCTAGTGATTAACATGGAAAAATCTGGCAATAATTACAGTAAAATACAATATATGTGTTTGCTTTTCTTTGAAAAAGAAAACAAAATTTTAAGACAAATTAACTTCATTCAGTTAAGAAAATATTTATTTAGTACTTACTATATGATAGACTTGGTAATGGATATAAGATAAATAATACCTGAATCCTGTCTTGGTAGGGAGATGCACATACAACAAAACAGCTGAGATTTATTAAGTGCTTAATATGTGCCAGGTAATCTACTAGGTCCTTTGCATGTACTAGGATACTTCAAAAAGTTCATGGAAAAGACCGGTTCCTGCTCACTGGCTGAGCGAGGTGTGGGAGCAACACCAAGGGTTGCGATCCCGAGTCCTTTGCATGTACTAGGATACTTCAAAAAGTTCATGGAAAAGACCGGTTCCTGCTCACTGGCTGAGCGAGGTGTGGGAGCAACACCAAGGGTTGCGATCCCGTTGCCGGTCCCGGTCCGGTACGGGCGCGACACTGAGGGTTGCGATCCGTTGCCGGACACGAAAAAAGACAAAAGTTCATGGAAAGATTCATATTATCTTTCAGTTTTATTTTTCCATAAACTTTTTGAAGTACCCCCATATAATCTTATTCAGTGCTCATGGTATTCCTAAGAAATAGGTGCTATTTCAATCCC